TGAAAAAAAATAAGTTAAAAATATTAAAAAAGAATAAACAATTACATATTTTTACACAGAAATTTAGAAACCTAACAGCATTGTAAATTTATATATACAACATTGTAGCAGGACAGTCCTATGACATTTTTATTTTCTTGTCTCTTGTTTTCATTTATTACCCTTTTTCTTTTTTCTCTCTCAGGCTTTCAAAGAGAGCAAATTGGTCAAGCAATGGCCGTGACTCATCCACATGGCTGACACTGACAAAAGATCTACAAACTGTGGTGCAGGGTTTCAGGGTAAATTCTGAGGGGATTTGACTGACCTTGTCGAAACAAAAGTTACATTTCTTGTTATATAGGTCTTGCTTTATCTTGGTCTTAACCATCCACCAGAAAGGTATAAAAAATGAGGTATAAAAAGTAAAGCCACATTAATATGCTGAGCTGTAAAAGGCTCAAGTCAACAACTTCTGACATTGCCAGTCCTACGGAGAACCCACTACTATTATGAACTACTGGACTATATTGGATTATTTTGCTGAATTCATGCACCTATAATATTTAAATGTCAATGGAATACCCATCTCTGACAAAACTAAAGAAAAAAAAGGGGCTACAAATGAAGGACCGTTTTATACCGGTATATACAAAATAGTTAGGATAGATATACAGCTACTTTCTCTTAATTCAATGAGAAGAAAGATTTGAACTAATAGTGTTTGGACAGGATATCATGTGTGCATCTTGTACAATGAATTACAACTACGAAGACAACAATATGAAATGTATGAATTATTGAAACTGTCTTACTAATCAGTTTTGAAACTCTTATTGCTATTTGTTTCGCAATAAAATTAACTTTAAAAAAAGAATTTCATGGAACAAAATCATAGGAATCCAACAATGGTTGTTATATTGCATATTGTTTTCTTCAAATTAGTTGTTCAGATGACCAGATATAAGCATGCAAAGCTGGTGAAGTTACAAGAAATTTAAAAAGAGAGAGAGAAAAATTTAAGTATCAATTGCTCCTTTTAATAGACAAGTAGTAATCAGCAGTGAAATTATCTAAGGTATCCTATATACACATGTCTTTTTCCCTTCCTTTTTTTTTTCTTTTGTCCTTTTCCTCATCCCAGTTTTTCCTTCCTTGTGAACAGATTCTTTCCCTTTCAAAGTACTTATGCTTTTCAGAATGTATTTACTGTTTAAGTTTCTTGTGGGCTGGGGAGATAGCTCAGAATAAGCGCTTGCCTGGCAAGCACAGGGTCCTGAGTTCAATTCCCAGTACCACCAAAAAAAAAAAAAAAATTCTTATACTAGGGAAGCAATACAGTATTTACACATGTGGGTCTGACTTATTTCACTTATGAGTATCTAGTTGCATCCATTTACTTATAAAAGTCCTGAGTTTATCTTTTTCTATAGCTGGTTTGTTTTTAGAGCAGTTCTATTGCCTCCCTTTCTTAAGATCCTCTGCAAAGCCGAAGAGAAGACAGAAGCGACATTTGCCTGAGTTGCTTCTGGAGAGTTTCTCAGATGAGAGGAGAAAATGGAACAGGCAAGGCTACCCTCTCTGGGAGGTGCTGTCCCAGGTGTGCAGATGGCTGCGGCTCCGCCAACTCCCAGGAAGCACAAGCTTTGCTGCTGCAGGTGTAGGACAGAGCACATAGCTCACCTCATGGCCCAGGGGAGGAGAGAGAGGAAGAGCTGGGGTCTCTGTTCCTGGGAGGCCTTACACTGCTTCTTGAGAGTGCCACCCAGAGCCCGGGGGACATTTGAAACCCAAAAGACATGATTCAGTGCTGTTTGTCTTCTTCCAAACTTGTGCTGAAATTTATTGCCATTGTGAGGCACAGAAAAGGTGGAAAATAAACCAGCCCACATCATTTAGAGCAGGGACTTGGGGAGGTGACTGGTATTAGATCAGGTCATGATAGAACCCCAGGCTGGAATACACAGCGTCAGGAGAGGCCATGTCCACGCATGTACATGCGCACATACTACGTGTGTCTGGTCCCTCTGCTGCCTGCAACTCTGTCAGTAAGAGACTGTCACCAGATGTAGCCCCTTGCCCTATTTCTAAAGAACTAGGAGCCAAATAAGCCTCTATTTTCCATGCCCCAGGTTCAGTTGTCACAAGGGCAGAAAGACTCCCCTCAAGAACCTGGGGCTGCTGGGGCTGCTCTCCTGTGGGCTCCTGGGAAGAGCCTAAGCATGGTGCCAGCCAGCGCTGCTCCACAGGTGCTGTCATGGAGCTCTGTGTGGCCACGCTGGGACCCTTCCCCAGGAGGACTGTGTTGGTAGGGGGTGTGGCCTGCTCAGTCTGTAGATGCCCAGCAGACATCAATAATGTCTTACTGCAGGGATACCAAGCATCCCAGAGCATGTGATGCTGTACCTTGGGCATGGTTAAGTGCTTTACGAGGAGCTCCCAGCAGCACAACCCATGGGATGTCAAGCTGGCCTGGCGACAGCTGCAGGGTGACAGCAGCCTGGAAGCAGTGCCTGAGAGAGCATGTGTCCAAGCGTAGATAGGGCTGGAGATGGCCTCTGCCATGCTGGGATGTACCCTACTTGCAGGATGAGGACAGGTCATTAGGGAGAGAGAGACTAAGGGCCCTGGTGACCCATGGCACTAGTCTAAGCCCCAACCCTGCCACTCCAAGCTAGTATAGATTTTATTTTATGTGCTAATAGGGGACATGGACAGATTCTGTATGTGGATGCAGGCCTGATTTTACTATCCCAGAGCCTCAGTTTCCCCACCTGTGAGGCGGAGGCAGTATGGTGATCTGGGACGCAGCTGTAGAAAATGCCCATAGCACCTTTGCTTCCTGATAAATGTTCAATTTGTTTTCTTTTTATGGCAAATGTTGAGTTTCTTGGTTAGGAGAGAAACCCCACCCAGCTGTTGCTCAGTGGGTGAGTTGTGTCTTGGTGCAGTCAGCGCAGTGTGCCCTGGGGGTTCTGATGATGAGCTCTTCACAGGGAGGGTCACCCTCTCACAGGGCTCTTCCAGCATGATCCGCGTCTGTGCTGCGGCCTATGTACGTCCTGTGGTCTTTGTATCTGCTGAGTGCAGGGCTCGATGTGAAGGTCTTCTGAAGCTTTTTACCTGTAGCAGGGGAGGTGTGCGTATGTTCCCCGATACCAGTAACCGTAGGACACCGGCCACCTGGATTTTTTTGTTTCACTTTCTTGCAGTTTTTCCCACTGTCATTTTTGTGGCAAACTGTGTGTTGAGCCAGTCTGTTGGTGTAAGATACTCCTGATCCCTGTTTCCGGCACAGAAAAAAGATGCTTGCCAGCTATTGTGAGTGATAGTGAATTTTAGGAGAGTAAAAGATTGCAGATAGGTCATTAACTACTGGATAATGATCTGAAGTTGAAAAGCTATAATACAGAAAAATGTTGATTCTGAACTAAGACTTTAAAATGCATTGACTTTTATGACATATGCATCTATATATCTGTGTATGTGTAGTAGTTTTTATTTATTTTTTGTGGCTCTGGGGATTGGACTGAAGAACTGTGCACTGAGCTACATCTCCATGTCCCTGATTTATTTATTTATTATCTCCAGGCAGGGTCTTGCTAAGTCACTAAATTGTTAAAGCTGGGCTTTCCCATGTGATCCTGCTGCCTCAACCTCCCAGAATTCTGGAATCATGGGTGTCTGCCATCACATTACACATTCTTATGAAGCATTTTCTTCCTGTGCACATTTAAAGTGCTTCCTGGTCATTTTCATTATGGAAAACTCCTCAAGAAATAACAAAATGTCAGCTTTCTGTTGCCACAACAAAATACTCAAGACAACTCACAATAAGGAAAGGTTTCTCTGACTCACGGTTTGTCCATGAGTCAGAGAGGGTTGTGTCCAAGGCTGGTTGATCCTTGCTCTTGGGCCTGTGGGACACAGTGGTTAGTAGAGGCAGCAACTCACCTCAGGGTAGCCCAGAGCAGAGAGAGGGCAAGGGAAGAGGTCCAGTTCCAGTACATGCTTCAAGGCCATGACCCAGTGATCTAAGGGTTCTACCATCTTCATACATGGGCCTTAGGGAGATACTCAGCTCTCAACACCTAGCAGTCCTTGGTAAGGCTCCTTTTTTGCTTTGTCCTCATTTTCTTTTCTTTTTTTAAATTTTAAGTTAGTACAGGATTTCACTACACAGCTTGGACTTGTAATGATCCTCCTGTCTTCAGCCTCCCTAGTGTTGGGATTACAGGCATGTACCACCATGCTGACTTGGTCACTGGCTCAGCTCCTGAGGGTGGGCCCACCAGGGCATGTGGTACTAGGGATCAAGTCCTGGTCCCTGCGCTTGCCTAAACAGGTGTTTAGCCCACTGAGCTATCTCACTGGCCCCTTTGTCTTCATTTTCTATCTTATCTTTCATAGTCAGGCCTTCATGCTGTTACTGGAGACCAGAGAAACAACTCTAAATCTGACCTAAGTGTGCATCCACCCCCAGATCAACAACTTCTAGCTTACAGGTGGCCCCTTCCTCACATGAAGCAGAATGATGGGATTTTCTCTTGCTGTTTGCTTCCAAACAGGCATAGCGTGTCGTTTGCTTGTGGGGGTTGAAATTCTGTTTGCAGTGCATGAAACTGCCTGCTAGGTTGGTGTCAGATAAAGACAGGACACTGAATTTAAGTTTTTGAAGGGGAGTAGAGCAAGTATCACAGGTAGTGCTAATGTCAGTGCGCCTTACTGAGCCTCGATTGTGAACCCAGCTCACTAAATCAAAGTGTTTGTTCCTATATGTGCTTTATAAGGCACGCAGAATATTTGAGGGTTAAATCATGCTGGGAAAGTTTTTGCAGGGCTGGCATTCTTCAATTCTGTTTTGAGATCAGAGACCTTTCTGCCCTGCAGAAAAATATTATTTATTGATGTGGTATAAATTTTCTTTAAGAACAAGTCAGAGCTACTTAACTCGAGTGGTTTATCAAGTGAATGGCTTGAATAACAGTATGCCACCATGAGAATCACAGCACGCAAACACACAGCCTTTATCAACTTTAATTGGTACAGTTATCGCTGGTATGCAACATGTCTTAAAACAATGAGAGACACAATGACATCACGTATCAGAGAAGTTGCCGGTCTTTTTACCCTTTCCATGATGTCAGCTAACTTCCCATAAGAAAGAAACCTGGCGAGAAGCTCTTGCTTAGCACTATTACCAGTATCGCTGAGTGCCTCTTCGACCCAAGCTGAAATGGTACATTCATTTGCCCTACAAAAGGTTAAAGGCAAAGAAGGTGAATGAACGTGCAAATTAGCATCTGGCCTGGTTGCGAAATTCATTTCTCAGGCGCAAGGGATGGAACCGTGCATCCTTGCAAGCAAGATGATGGGCAAACCAGTGACATCAGACCACACAAGGAATCCCAGGATCTCAAGGTGGTGAAGGCCAGTGCTATTTGTGTCATCCTGGCCTCTTGTGTCTCAACTCATTGCATGTCCTTTATCAGGAGATGGACACCATCCTCTGGGACCCCAGGCACAGTGAACCCTACCCCCAGTCCACTTCACTGGGAAGTGAAGCTGTCTGATGTAGCTAGGACACAACTGGAGTTTTATAGAATAAGTAAAGACTAACACCCAAGTATCACAGCAAACAAGAAATTGAGATCACTTATATACCATTGCAATACTTCAAGTGTCTATAAATATGTCTGTCCAGAATTGGAAACACCATAGACATGATTTCATGAATTCTCAGGACACCTCTGTGAGGTAGGAGGGGACACAGTCAATGTGACAGCATTGTCCTCCTCAGACACAGGTGGGCAGGGCTGTGCAGGAGACCTCTGCCGGGCCCTGGAAAAGGAAAATGCAGCTGACTCCCACTCTGTGCTCATGTGTGTTGGACAGAGAGGAGGCTGCTTGCTTCCCTCCCGTGGCAGCACCCCGCCTGGGTGAGTGTGGCTGTCAGAAGCACTGCAGCTTCTCTCAGCTGGATGGGACAGGCTCTCCTTGGTGGGAAGGATGTCAGCTACAGGCATCTATTTCAGGGGTACACATGCACACACACATACACACACACACACGTGTATGTTTTGAGTAACATTTGTAAAATACACTTGCTAAAATCATTGGCCAATTCCAAAGCGGAAAAAATACACTTGGCAAAATAAGGCCGCACCATAAGTATTTAACACTAACCAACATCATGGGTGCATCTGAATTTTCATCGGAGGCTGTCAGCTTACGGAGCACCCCAGTAGGGGCCAAACAGACCCTGCTCTTTGCCACCAGCCTCAGAAGTGAATTAGAAAGACAAACTAGCTCTGTGCTGTCCCCATGGCAACCTTTGGTGAGGAAAGGCATTTGCCACACTAGGGCTCTTAACAAGCAAGGGGTCCTGGGAGAGACTGATCCTGGTCCCAGGGGCACAGGACAAAGGCAGTGTCCTGATATGTCCCTTCCCAAAGGCATTCACTGGACATAACGTCCAGATGTTTTGGGCTGAGAGAGGAGGACAAAACCTCATGCAGGGCTCTGTTTATTGACTTGTCCTTTGGCAGGTGGAAAGCCCTGTGGAGTGTGGGATGGGGTAAGAATATTATCCAAGCCCAGCATAGCGAGGGCGCACCTGGGCATACTCAGCCATGTTTTGGGGATGGTCCACGCTGAGCTGAATTCAGAGACACCTAATTGCTTCCCACTTTTTCTTCCTTGCCCTCTCTGGCTGTGGGCACCTCTGGAGAACTCTCCTGGACCCAAGGGGCTTAGGGAAAATCATTGTCAGGGTGAGACAAAGGTTATGGGAAGGGGCGCTGCTCCTGGTTTCTGACTCTAGGGTCATTTCCAAAACAGCCATGGGATGGGCTACACTGAGATGTCTAAACTGAGTTTCATGTTCTTTGTGACACTGTGGGACATGACACATTTTAAAATGTGCTTTCTACTCTGTGCAATCCAGATGCGAGATGCTAGTTGCTAGTACAGAGCAGGATACAGGTGGAGTCTTGAAATAAAGTCCTTCAGAAACACAGAGGCCTAAAGGGGCATTCACATATGCCAGGAAACAAGCCCTCAAATAGCAAACTAAGAAACTTGACATATAATTTCATTTTGGTAAAAATAAGACGTGAATGATCCGAGAGTGGAGAGTGTTTTCTCTGTCTGTCGTGGGCTCTGCAGTGAACAGGAGTTCTCAGCCTTAGCACGTCGGAGGCTGTGGGTGGGGCCATGGTACCAGATATTGTCCCAGGCACAGCAGGATGTGTAGCGGAGTCCAGGCCTCTGTCCACGCTGGCACCCCTGTGGCACTCATGGCCATCAAAAATTCCCACCTGGTATTTTCCGACGTCCCCAGGGTGGGGTGGCAAAAATCACCTCTTGGTTGAGAATGATTGAAATAAATGGATGCCCTCAAAGGCACAGTACTTTCTCAATATTGGGTGAACAAGATTTTAGTGACCAGTCCCAAGGATGTTTCCTTATCAAGCGGGAGAACTGGTAAGGTAAGGGTGTGGGGAATAGATGGACTGTGCATGGTGCCTGCTTCCTGTGGAAATGCAGATTCACTAGGGCCTCTTTTTTATTTCTTAAAACAGTTCACAACCATTTCCTGGCAGGCAGTAAGGCGGCGCATCAGTTGCTCTGTGGGTGTAAAGCAAGATGTCTGGGCTCCTCCAGGCAGCTGATCCACTCCCCAGAAGGGACTTGCTGGTGCCTCACCTTTTCCCCTGTGCATCTCTCCCTCCTCCTGGTCACAAAGTGCATCCCCTGGAGGGAAGCTTGGGGGCTGAGATCCCATGTGAATCTGAGAGGCCCTGCAGGGAGAACAGGTAGAGCCAGGCGGATACCTGATGCCCACGTGCGGCTCTGCCCTGGCCTGCTGCCCCTCAAGGACCACCTCCATGTCATTAATTAGGCAGCTAAGGGGCAGCTTTGGGTGCTAGGGCCCAGCAGGCCCCCAAGACATACAAAATATGTTACAAAGGAATCTGAACCAGCCCGCTTCCTCACTGCAGGGGCAGAGCTTCCCAGGACCTACGTCCTTGTTCTCCGAGGATCTTAATGTAATTTTCTATACAGAAGCTTAAGAAATGACCAAAAAGTTTTCACAAATTAATCCCCAACAAGACCCCCAAGCCTTCTCACCACTCCTTGTCACAGTGGGAATGGGATGGGTGCTGGAGCTGCTGCCGAGGAGGTCTGACCCCCCTCAGTGCCAACTCGGACCCTCTCACCTGGAAATCAGGGTTCTTTCTACCAAAAAGAGGATATTGTGGCAGCCAGAGGAGAGAGAGGAAAATGGTAACAACCATACCAAGGAAACTGGGCTTAAGATTGTCGTTCAGTGCACATCAGGTACTTGATATTAATTCTACTGGGTAAGCACTTATAAATAAAGAGCAGTTCTTCCTCGCACTCGGCCACTTTCCTCTGTTAGGAGTCGTCGTACAGAGGGTTGTTGTAGTTTCCCCAGGACCCGTAGTCGTGGTCATCCAAGAGCCTTCCATAGGAGGAGTGCCTAGGAGGAAGGAGACACAGGGGGTCACAGTAGCTGTCACCTGAACCTAGTCCCCACCTTGCTGCTCATACCAGGAGGCTGGCAGGCACTTGACAGGAAGGAAGGCTGTCCCACAGAGACAGCCATGAACCATGGACCCACCAATCTCTGAGATGGGGGGCCACCCCTAGCACCTGAAGTCATGGGTGCCCCACCTGAGCTAGACGGGCACATTCTGTGGACATCAGTTGGGTCCCTGTATCATCCTCCTCCTCTTCCTCCTCCTCCTCCTCCTCCTGAGCTAGACGGGCACATTCTGTGGACATCAGTTGGGTCCCTGTATCATCCTCCTCCTCTTCCTCCTCCTCCTCCTCCTCCTGAGCTAGACGGGCACATTCTGTGGACATCAGTTGGGTCCCTGTATCCTCCTCCTCCTCCTCCTCCTCCTCCTCCTCCTAGGGGGAAGGATGGAGATGGGAGCAGTGTTCCTTCGATGGAGAACTTAATTCCCCTAGAACACCGCTGACACTGGCAGACATCTATTTAGTAAACAAGCATCTTTATGGAAGGGACAGAACTCCCCACTTCTGTGAGGTAGTTTAGCTTCTCCAGTTATTTTTGTCTCTATCATATAATTCTAGTTCCATAAAAGATCAGCTGGCAAGAGATGTACATCCTGACTATGCTGAATATTTTTTGACTCCCTCTGCTTTCATCTATAAAATGGAAAATTAAAAAAAAACTATACATTAGGGTTGTTGGGAAGATTGAATACAGCAGTGCATATGAAGGTGGTTAGCACATAGTAAATGCATACTAAGTGCTGGCCAAGGCTGCTTCTCAGTTTTTATGATAATGAAACTTACATAAGCACATGGTAAATCTGCAGGCAGTAAAACACGGCACTGAATGGAAAGCAAACCTCCCACTGAGGAACTCCTGAAATTAGGCCCACCATAGTTATAAAACCTGTTTCTTAAATTATCACTATTTGAATTTTATAAATTATTGTGCCAAAATGGGGTCAGAGAATTACAAGTCTTTTTTCTGTTTCATACTGTGGACTCTTCAGGTGACACTGTAAGAGGCCTTGGCCAAGCAAAGACTGATGCTGACATTCATTGTCTTTGCCTTCCCATTTGAAGGAAGAGCAAGCTGAGTAAAATGTAGACAGGTAAGGAAAAAGTCAAGGGGAACCCAAACAGGGAATGTCCTGGATCTGGAGGGCTCATTTCAGCACCCTCGTGAGCCTCAGCTGGAAGAACAGGGTCCACGCCAGGGCTGGATGCACTCAGTGCTGTTGTAGAAAAGAGTACAGTGACCAGGTTTCACAGACCTGTGATAAGGGGAGGGCAGCTTGTGAGCACGATGACCTGTCTCTCTAGCTAAGAATGTCCCAAATCATGGCACATTTTGGATGGAAATGGAGAATTTTTCCAATGAGCATTTCAGAGTTTGAAAGTAAGAACCTTTTCAGTCCTAGTGTTAGGACAGCAGGAGCCACGGCACTCGGACGGCTTTGTCAGTGAGACTCAATGTGGACTTGTGCAGCACTCTCTCCTTGCTCTAGGGCAGTGTTGCTTCATCTGATTTCATCTGAGAAGCAATCTCATGACTGATGTCAGGATCAGGGTCAGGCCAGGGTGATTTTGTTTCCTCAGACTCCTGATAAGTATTAGGATCTGCCTGATGCCAAGGGTTTTTTATTTGTGGTGCCCAAGCTCCTCTTCCATGGTGACTGTCACACCCGCCCTTGGTGAGTGAGCCCAGTGCACTGCACTCCTGAGTCTGTGCGGCTGATAGAGGCCCATGGCTGCCTTCCCCAAACCAGGTCCTTCTTGCTGGGTGTAAATAAGTATAGTAGTGCTGTTTCACCCTGATTCTTGGGCCTGTACCCTTCTGTCATCCAATATGTATCTGCAGAGTGGGTACTGCAGTGTCACTCTGCGGTGACTTGGGCAGTGCCAGAGGCTGCATGCGGATCCAGCAGAGGACCTGGGCAGAAAGTGGGGTGACTCCATGTGCAGAGTAGGGGAGATATGGAGGGACTTGGAGCCAGGTGCACAGTGTGAGGGAGGGAAAGATGGGGAGGAGGGTGGGAAAGGCGGGCACTTCTCAGCTGGACAATTTGGTATTAGCCAGGCCAAGAAGGACCACCAGACTCTGACAGGGTGCCTAAAACCAGAGGTGTGATGCAAGTGTGCAAGGAGGGGTTGGGAATGGGGATGAAGCTGGCCTTTCCCTGTGTGGCCCTGGGCCAGGAGCCCTGGCAGCCCCTGGGAGCCCACTCAAAATGCAGGTACAAGGCCTGGTCTAACCACACCAGAACCCAGGGGCAAGGACCCAGCAAACTTTCTGGGAAGCTTTCCCATAGATTCTTGGACAATGAAGCTTGAGAATCAAGTGGACCAGGGAGCCAGGGCGATGGCACAGTAGAATAAACACCTCCCTGGCAAGCACAAGGGCCTGAGTTCAATCTCCAGTTCTGCCAAAAAGAAAAAAAAAGAAAGAAAGAAAGAAAAAAGAAACAAAGAATCAAGGTGACCAGACCTGTGGAGTCTCCAAAACTGATCTGGAAAATAAGACAAGAAACACAAAGCCAACCTGTGGACAACAAATTCTAGGCGCTCTTAGCTTTCATAGCTGGCTGAGCCTTCTCTGCTACTGGCTGCTCCCTCAGGGTTCGCTGCATAGGGCTGAAGTCCACCAGCCAGCACAAGGAGTCCAACTGTGCAAAATGAAACCCTTGCCTGGTAAAACACCAGCAAAGACAGGTGACTCCGGCAGGAGGACCCCGGAGGCTGGCCCCGCTTTGTCTGTAAATCAGGGTCAGGTTTATTTTGGTGATGAGAACAGCCCTGCTGCCTGTCTGGGTCCCAACACACTAATTATAGCAGCTCCACCTCCCTGCCGCGGCAGATAGGGTCTCTTGCCCCCATGGTCATCTCCTGGTTGAACAGATAAACAAAATCAGGCAGCTGACCTCATCCCTAATTAAAGATACCCTTCTGCAAGAGGCAGCCAGGGCCTAGGCTTTCTTCTAACATTGCAAACGAGATCAAGACTTCCCCAGGATGATTTCTTTTCATGAACGTCTGATATGAATGCAACTGCACAGGCACCGCAGAATAGTTCCCCAAGACTACCAAGGGGGGACATGGAAGTCCGACACCAGGGTATGATTAGAGAACAGAGCACACTTGGCCTCTTCCTTCTCCTCTTCTCCTATCGTTTGAATCCCTGATTGCATCCCTGGAGGGGATGTGCAACCTCACCGCCCACTGTTGGCAGCTGCCTTCTCATACAACACCAGGGCCAAAGCACTATTCTGGCAGCAATGACCACAAGCAGGACTGAACATGTGTGCATATCAACTTTGAGTGAGATGTTGGGATTATTACAAATAGGGAAACTAGGGTAGGATGCTGGACACTGCCCCTGGCTTGCCTTTAACTATGATGCTGGCTTCTGGCTGGCGCCCTATACTTGTTGCCTTACCTTCAGTCAAACCACCTTGGAGGAAGGGTGTGCTCAGCTCTATTTTTGCAGATGGAAGAAATCAAAGATAAGAAAGATTAGCTTTTGCCCAGGGCCTCCTAGACAGCAGGAGGGAAGGCCGCTCCTGGACTGAGCTTGGCTATAGAGCTGGCCTTCCAATCCATACCAACTGCTGCTGGTTAAGACAGGTGGATACCAGAAGAGCCCAGGAGGGCAGCTCAGGGCAGCTCCCTTTGTAAGCCACATGTTAAACTGTTCGAGTACGCAGGTCCCCTGGCAGCAGACACTGTTCACACTGGGTCCCTGTGCGGAAACCAGATGGCTAAGGGGTTAGGAAGCCTTTGGAGGAAATAGGGTTTGGGCAAATACAAGAAGCTGCCCCTGTGTTCTCAGAGACTGGGCCTGACTAGTGCTATAGCTCGTGCTTGTCGGACAGAGGGCCATGAAGCCTCCGGCCATGAAGCCTCCGAGCTGCGACCTCAATCTTCACAGCTTCAGCCAAGGGAGCTCCAGATCCGCAGATGAGAAAACTCCTGTTACTATCCCCAGAAGTTCAGGAGGACAGACTAAACTTCCAGCCCAGGCAAAGCCCAGCCCCTACTCACTCCTGTCAGTTAGCCAACACTATACTTGACGAATAATTCCAGGGGCTTCCCAAGAATCTGGAAAAGTAACCCTTGAAGGGGTTTTAGCATAGCCTCAGGATTCATGAGAATCATTAAGCACCATCTGTTATCATTTTGGTAAAATAACTAAGGAGCACAAAGGGACTTTCCTTTGGGGGTTTTTAAGACAGCATGGGATCAGCTTCGGTTTACAGTGCTGAGTGCAAGTAGCTTGCAGATAGATAGCGACCTCGACCGTACACTTATGTCATTCTAAACCTTCCTATATTGAGGAGTGAGAAACTTCACAGTGGAGGGAAACAATGATTAACTGAATATAATCATTCACTAAGCTTATCTGGTGTTAAAGGTTGGGGAAACAGTTAAAAATGAAATGTTAAGCTATTTTAATCAGCACTCTGACCAATTTCGGTGAGCTGCTATGGTGGCAGGGATGGGTCCTCTCACTCACACGCCTGGGGTGCTGGGCACGTGGCTGTGGCCAGCACCTGTCTGCCTACCAGTCCAGCTCTCGGTGGCTCTGTTCCTTACAGCTTACCACTATCAGGGGGATGATGTCAGGGCAGTGCGTGGTAATCCTCCCAGCTGTGCTACCAGGGGTGAGGGTGACAGCCCCTACCTTACAGGTGGGGGAGTGAGGGCTGGTGACTCGCTCTGTTGCCCAGGTCACATGGCTAGGACAGGTTGGGGCTGGGCTGAGACCAAAGTCTCCCTGAAGTGTTCTAGATGGCCTACTTCCCATGGGTGTGGGCTAAGAAGATAAATTTGAATTCTTGCCTGAAGTCTAGAGAAAGAGTTTTTATGTTAGTTCAACATCTTTTTTTGGGGTGGTGGTGGAAGTGAGACTTTGGAGACATAGCTCATAAACTCACCATTGGCAATTCCAAAAGGACTCTATTTTTTTTGTACTAGGAATTGAAATCAGGGGCTGGCCTGAGAGCTCAGAGAACTAAAGCACCTGCTTAGGCAGAGTGCAGTGGCCAGGATTTGATCCCCAGCCTGCCACGCTGGCCCTTCCTTTGGGGCATGCTGAGAGGGCAATTGAGACTGGCTTTGGTGGCATGTGCTTATAATTACAGCACTTGGGAGGCTGTAAAAAGGAGGATCACTATGAGTCTGATCTACATAGTGAGTCTGATCTATGTAGTGAGACCCTGTAGACCCCGTAGACCTTTTTCTAAATACAGAAAATAATAATAATTTTTTAAAAAAGGAATTCAACTCAGTACCCTGTGCTTGCCACACAGATACTTGTGTCATTGAGCTATCTCCTTGGCCCCCAAAACTGTATAGTTTATCAGTTTATAAATAAGTTCAATTCAAAAAATATTTTAATCATCTATTTATTTGGTACAGGGTCTCTCTACACAGCTTGGACTCATAGTGATTCTCCTGTCTCAGCCTCCCCATAGCTGGGATTATAGGAGTGAGCTACCCCAGCGGGTTTCATTGGCCAGCTCAGTGCCCAGGGCCAGCATGGCATGTGGTACTGGGGATTGAACTCTATTCTTTGAACTTGCCAAGCAGGCACTTACATCACCGAGCTATCTCCCCAGCCAAGTTCAGGGTTTTTTTTTTTTTTTTTTTTTTTTTGTGCCCCAGACACTATTTTCCAACAGAGACTTTGCTGGAATTGGGAATGAGGTTCCCAGAGAAATTCATAAAGGCCAATTTAACTAGTAATTAAAGTACAAGGTATCTGCAGTGATAAACTACTAATTATTCCAGATGGGGAAAAGCATCATTTAGTATGATGTAATTTATAAAACTGCTTAGTATTCAAAGAAATACAGATTAATGAAGGTGAGATTTTTTTTTAAATCTGAAGGAAGCCTCTGGATGTTTTTATAAAGCTTTTGGACATAGGTTTCAAGGGGCTTTTCATTCCAATTTCCATTTGAAATCAGTTGTTCTTGTTTGCATTGTCTGGGAGGAGGTGATGCCAAAGGCTGTCTTGGTGGGCACCATTACTGGGCACGTGGGTGGGAAGGAGAGGAGGGGCAAGGAGATATAGGTCAGGGTCATAGGGAAGGTGAAAGCACACCGTCAGCTTCACGTGGGGACAAGGAGGGAAGGACAGGGGGACAGGGGATCACATGGCTTCTAGATAACCTTGTAGCCTAACATCCTCTCCTGCTCCAGAGAGCAGAATCTCAGCTGTTCTTTGTGATCACCTTCATTTCATAGATGAAAAGAGTTTTTAAAACTGAAAACCTAAGGGCCCAGGCAAGGGACAAACCTAGTTTTATGGAACAGCTAGCCTGCCTTTCTACTCCACACTGTGCACAGAACCAGTGAAAACCTCCTAAAGAGTTGGCAGTGCTTCCATGTGCAGGAGCAAATGGCCAGAGCTGCACCCACACTCCGGTGCACAGGTAGATCTGGGCTCTGAGGCAGGCGGCTTCCTGGGTCACCTGGAGATCCTGGCATGGAGCCTGAGACCTGGCGTCTTGACCCTTCATTCTCCTTCTCTCCCAGCAGCATGTGGTACATCTGAATGCCTGTCTCTGCCTAGTTGGGTTCAGACCAGCCACTCCTGTCCACTGCAGAGTACACTGGCCACATCTACCGTGGCCAGTGTCTCCAAGGGCTAAGGTACCTCCGGAGGAGCAAGTTCAGCCGGTGTGGTGGTACACATTGGCCATCACTGGAGGATGAGGCAGGAGGATCACAAATGTTAAGCCCAATCTAGGTATCTTAGTTACACAGTAAAACCCTGTTTTAAAGTAATAAAAAAAGAGCTGGGGGTGCAGCTCAGTGCAGAGGCCCTGAGTTAGGTCCTCGATGCAAAAGAAACAGGTCCTCAGCTAAATCTCTCTCGGCCTGCTGCCCCACGAAAGGAAATCCTCTTGTTTTTATGAAGACTGAGCCTCACCTGATCTTCAGATATGCCGCGACTCCGAACACCAGCACAACCACTGCGATGACCGTCACCGTGATGGCGGCGATGCTGCCTGCGGAGGAGGGTGGGGTTAGTAACTTGCAGTGCATGGTAGCCACTTTTTTTCTCTTTAATGTATTAGCACGGTCCACAAGGTATCACTACCCAGATTGGACTTGTAGTGATCCTCCTGTTTTCAGCCTCCTAAGCGCTGAGATGACAGGCACGCACCACCACGCCCAGTCTCAATAGCCATTTCAGCGCGTCCTGGGGGCGGGGCCAGCACTGCATTCCGGGATTGAACCCCGACCGCCGCTGCGCTCTAAGCAGGCGCTTCAATCCACTTAACTACCTGCCCTGCCCATGACACCCACTTCTGCCTGCCCCTTCTTGAAAGAGGCAAAGTCATTGTCTGCAGACCTTTCTGAGGAAAGTCAGAACTGAACAAATCCTGTATCTATGTGCTGCCGTGGGTACATTTTTATGGCAGGGGACATTTGGCAAATGGTTGCTATTGTTACAATATTTCCTGACATCTTTTGGTTCACCTGGAACTCGGTAAGCCCGACGCCACCTTGGATTCCCTTTTGAAGAATTTCACCGGGCCGTGCACAGCTGATACAGGCAGAGATAACTGATTTTGTGGCCGGGGAGATGACTCAGTAGAATAAGTGCTTGCCTGGCAAGCACAAGGGCCTGAGTTCAATCCCCGGTTTCGCCAGAAAAAATAAAATAAAATAAAATAGAAGGGAGAGATAACTGATTTTGAGTCTCCTGGGTTCCTCTTTCCTTCTTACAGGCTCTGGCTCATCTTCTAATCGCTCATGGGTATTTTGGAGATAGGAAGTCCTAGTCAGGGGTCACTACCAAGTAATGTGGTCGGCTTCCTAGTTAGCCAGGGTCACGGAGCTATCTTGGGAGTGTCCACTTCATTTAAAAAGGTCACTACGGTGGGAGATGGGTTAATTTGAATGATTCCTTCGTGCTGAATCATTTTCAGAGGAACTCCTCCTTGGGAAGTGTGTGCAGCTTTCACCCTTCAATGGCAAATCTGGTTTTATAGAGAATATGGTCAAGTCTGGTGTGAAAAGTAAGGTCACCTCTAGCAGGTTAGCTCTGGTTTGCTGAAATAACCAGATGTAATTACAAAATGACATGAAAGTTTTATTTTGTAGCTAGAAATATCGCTCCCAAAGCAACTCTTCATAGGCAGTTAAAAAGAAAACAAAAACAAACAAACAAACAAAAAATCCTCTGAACAGGCAGCATTATAAGAATAACCATAGTGCGCAGTGTCACTGAATGCCACTCAGGAGCACAGCGCTACTTTTGTGTGAGCTGCAATATATATCAGCTTTATTCTACTCAGAAATGCAAGTCATTTGGGTTCTTGTCCCTTATTAGTGCAGGTGACTTTTTGGCACCGATACCAACATTAGGGAAATGATTTACTGCCTCAACACATGAATGAGGCAAACATGCATGGAGGGGTGCAGGATCTGAAGCTGGGGGTGTGGGCTCACGTGTGGCCCTCCCTGGAGCAGCAGTGTGACCACGAGCTGTTCACCAACCCCACCAGCTCCCGTACTTCTCACTGCAGAGATGGAGGGAAGAGGAGGGTCTACCTGCTCCGCTCACACAACTTCAGGGAGATTAAATGAGATGATGTGAGCATCAGTCTACGGAAACCTTAAGCCCGCATGCTGGGACCCAGGCCTACCTCTCCTGCACTGGGTCTCATAGGTCATGAAACTTCCCTAAAAGTTAAATTTAAAATATTTGGAGACTAATTATTTGGAGACTGTTTGCCATCTGTCCTTTTACTTGTCCCCACCAACCTGAATAGCTTTATTGTTCTCTTCATTCTCCCTTCCAGCAGAAGAGCTGGAACCTAGCTGAGCAGCAAAGCTACTTATGGCTTTTCAACTCCGAAGAGCTCTGGGAGAGGGACTGCAACCCCAGGCACCCTGCTCCTGTGCCATCCATTCTAGGACAGCCAAAGGGGATGGCTGCTGACAGGAGGGCCTAGACCGGTGCTGTCCCCCTGTGAGTACCGGCTACGCTCAGCTACACCAAGCTCACACACTTCCACACATGCACACAGCCATTCGTTTGCCCCTGGGGTGCTTGGAACCTGATTAGTGTAATTACTGGTTTAATTTTCTTTCTCTTCTCACTATGGAGAGACAAAATGATGGCTCTGAGGGCTTGAATGTGCGGATGGGCCAAGTAGAGACACTCAGAGCTCAGACCCTCCTGGGAAAGCCTCTCTGCCTGCTTTGAAAGGCGCCTCTTAGCTTCTTGGCCTCCAAGCTGTGCTGAAATTAGAACAACTCGGAGTTCACTGAGGCCTCAGAACAGCTTTCCCAAAGAGCTGGAGGAGGGAGAGTTCTACCGCAAGGCAAGGCGGTGGGGGAATTTTAAGATGAAAAAAGATGTGGTTTCTGCAATTAGGAACAGTTTAAAAGCTAGTCTTTTGATCTAATTTCTTCCTTTCCTTAAAAGAGAAGGAACGCAGCTGATTTGCCTGTATGATACCTCTCTCTTGCCCAAGGGGCAGTGCAATATAGGAAATTGTGGGCTTGACCTTCTTCGGATTCTTTCCAACTCTAAGCAGTTGGGCCTCCTCCAACACTGAAGTGCTGAGCTTATTTATACATTTTTTTCTAAAGATAAATGAAGCTGTTTCTCCAACTCATGTGCTGTTCTTTTTCTGGTTGTTGTTGAGATAGCAAGTGACACAGTGGCCACCATGTGACAGTGGCTGTCCAGCTCTGGCTGTGATCGTGCTATCTAGCGGGGCTCTGTAGGTCACCCTTTCTGATGCCCTGCATGACCAGGGCAGGATAGATGCCTGGGGATGGCTGGGCAAAGGGCCCTCTGAAAGTTGACACCACCTGACACGAGGCCCAGAGATGGGAGGTAGTGTGTGCTTGAACACCTGGGTCTCCACTAGTTATTCTGCCCCAAGCCTTCTGGGAGAGTGCTAGGCAGGGAGCCAGCTCTTCTGGCCTCATCCTTGGCCAGCTCTGACCAACAGCTCTGACCGGTGTCCTGAGTTGTTTTCTCCACAGCCACTGTGGCTCACATTCCCTGCAGCTGGGTCCTGGGAGGGGCTCCAGCCCAGGAGATTTGAGCAGGTGAGGATGTTGCTGAGGGATGCGAGTACACATTTAGAGAACTGGAAAGCTTCGTTTCCTCCTTGTGAAAACAACACCACTTCCCTGAGTCTTGTTTAAATAACACTGGAATTCCCCTGGTCTTCTCATTTGCCCTCTGCTGGAGGAGTGGGGGCAGAACAGAAGGATGGCTAAGGGCACCGTGGGCCATGGGCTGGCAGGAAGGGGGCAATGCTCCAGGTCAGACTAGGTGGGACACACTGTGGAAGGCTCATGGATGGGCCAAAAGGAAGAGTGTGGGAAGTCCTTTGTGGGTCAGAGTGGCCAACACACAGGAAGATCCATCACACCAGCAGGCTTGCCCTCACCAGGGGCTCCTAAGAATCCACACGCCAGAGCCTCCTTGCGTTTTGTACTCCTTGGAGTCAGAGTCATTGTGCCTTTTGGCCACTGTTGTCCTGGCCCAGGACAAGAATAAAGGAGCTCAAGGACAAGGGAGGCTGCTGACCTCTCACAGGAGGCTGCTGTGGCTGGCACAGCAACACGGACTTAATCCTCTCATCTCATTTAATTCCTTTTAGGAGAGGCGTGGTGTGACTCCCACTTCATAGACAAGGAAGTCAAGCCCAGAGAGGTCAGGGCTTGACTGAAGTCTTATTCTGGGGAATGACTGAGCTAGCTTCTGGGTCTGGGCTACTGCACTCAGGTTTTGTACTCTGAGTCACTCTCAGCCCCTTTCTCAGCCTGCACAGGTCTATTTCCCTTACTGAGCACCAACGCTGTGAGGAGCCTTCCTGGCACCAGGCCAGTGACTGTGCCTCCCAGGGGGCCTGGACCTCCTCCTGCCAGTCACCAAGCCTGTGCTTTAGGGCTCCCTGTGTGGATTCCAGTCACAGCATACTGCTCTGCTCTCCTGTGTATGCTTTCAGCCCCAGGCACAGTCTCTAGCCCACAGTGGGTACCTTGCTCTTTTATTAAATGTTGAATAAATAAATGTGATACTGGGGAAAATAATACTGGAGGTTTCTGGCCCTAATTGCTGTACAAAGAAAGCCCTAGAGCAGTAGGCTTTCTGCCTGTCCATCTGAGAATCCCAGATTTCACATGAGACCAACTCCTTCCACTGGGTCTGTGGTCCCTCCCACCCCAGGCCTTCCACAGTCTGCAATGTCCACAGCTGGCTAGAGGAAGACTTCGGGAATAATAGTCATGTGACAAATTTGTGACGCAGTGCAGTGAACTCTCAAAAGGCTTTGTCCCTGGTCAGGTCTGGCTGGCCACAACTACCCTCCCTTGGTGCTATCCTGGAATGTTTATGGCATTTCTGTAAGGGGCCTCTTGCCCTGGCCTGCAAGATCCTTCTCCAGCTCAACCTTCTCTGGAAACTCATTGGTAAGGGCCTGGTGCCCTTTCTTTCCATGTGTGGCTTTGATTTGCGTAGCACAGTTTCCCATCTTTATGCTAGTGTACACCTGATACTGATGTCGCTAGCTACGGGAAGGGATGTGTGGTATGATGCCAGGAGAGATGCTGTCTGCCTGCCCTCCAGATCAGGGTCCTTGAAAGCCAGGAACACCAAGTTATGCTTCCCTGTTCATCTAGGCTCCAAATAAATAATTCATAAAGTAACCCTATTTTCTTCTGAAGTGTAGCTATCTTTTAATTGGATGTTATTAGTAATTATGATGCAAGAGAAAAGCTCCTTCCTAAAGCGTCCAACTTGCATGCAAACATAAAAACACAAGTGTTTTTAATTGACACAACCTAAGATCCTCTCTGTAAGTAAGCCCTCCCTCCTCACCACTCTCTTAGTCATTAAGTCACTCTCAGTCATTTGTTCATGCAGAATGGGGAAGGTAAGCCACCTCAGAATGAGCCTTGTGTTATTGTAATAAGACTCTGCTTCAGGGTTCTGCTGTCCTCCGAAGCTCACTAGGGAGCAGGGTTGGGCCTG